GTGGAAAATGGAAATCAAGAGCTTGCATTTCCTATCTCTTTTCTTACTAAATATGTTAATTCACTAATGTTTCTTTAAGTGCATGTGGGTCAACTGCATGACCAGTTAATATTGACAGTCTGTTTTTTAAAGAGGAGATTCAGACTGGCTGTTTATCTGGTCCATAATATTTAAAAGGAAAAAAACCAAACTCCAAACATCCAGAGCCATAGGCATTTATCCATCAGTTTTGCTGGGGAAACATTGCTTAATTGTGTGTGAAACAAGCCTTTAATGCTGTGAATCACACTGAATTGAATTGGATCAAATGAACGATCTGGGCGTAGAACTCAGATGGCAGAAACCAGCAGTGTTAGAAATGTGTGCGTTTCTGTGTGTGGACATCAAAAGGATGCCTTTTGACTTGAGGTAGAGGTGGGGGTCACCACATTGCCAGAATTGCAATAAAAAAAAATGACATTGTCACGAGCAAGCTAACCTGAGAAAGGCATCTTTGCCTGCAGCTTTTCAAAAAGGCTTGTATTCCTGCAGTCATTTTCGGTTCCTTGCCACACTGTGCTGGCTGCTGCAGACCCTGATATAATTACAGAAAGACAGAACTAAATACAGAGCAAGTGAGTATGTATTTACTAGGTGGAAAAGGTTCTGAATATTTCTTACTATTAAATAGTTTTGGTGGACCTTAGGTACAATGTCTTTTTGTTCACAGTCGTGTGGAATGGAAATGGAGACAGGACCTACATCTGCTCCCCTGCTCTAAGACAGTTATGGGAGAGTACGTGATGATTCTGTATGGCTTTGAGGAGTTCTCAGTGCTGACTTGAAGAGGAAAGACCTAGTCAGTTTTCAAATGAATTATACTTCAGCTTGGTGACTGTTTTTTGTAAAAAAAAGTTTTAATAGTTTAGTGAGGTAGACCTGGGCATCACATAAATTGTCTGTGAGGCAAAGTAAACACATTACGTTTCCTTGAGAAAGAACAAAAACTGGTTTAAAAGATTCCAAACACTTAGATGAATAGCAGGTTAATTTGTGGAGTCACAGCCATTCTCCCCTTTCACTCGGCAGGCGTGGGAGAGATGCTGCAGCGTGTACGCTGGCATTTGGGCAGTGAGCATGTTCTCAGGAAAAGGGAACTGCCCATTCACCATAGGAATGTAAGCTTTGCTGAATATATTGCTGATTGTGCCAGACGACTATTCATAAACAGATTAACTTTGTGTTCCTCAAGCAAAGAGCTGTTGTCACTGTTACTTTTTTGTGAGCCGTTCCTGAGGTGTCTTGAGCCAGGAGCACGTCTTCTGGTTTCATTCTTATGTGCAGTCAAAGAATGATATTCAAACTGGTTTTCAAAAAACCCACATCTTTTTCATGTATATGGTTTCTTGCCCACAAGTTCATTGAAATGCCTAGATATTAGATTTCAAATAAGAGAAGGGTAATTTAGAATACTGGGTCTTTAATTGCTTGTTTTGTTTGAAGATGTCTGTCTTGTATGTCATCCTTTCTCAGGCGTGTTTTCTTGTTGCTTCTGATTGCTCTTGGTGCTGAGATGTGCACTGTGGTGTGTGAGGAGAGGAAATGATGTCCTTAACAGCAGCTTTTAAACAGCAGCCATAGTATTTGATGTGAAGTGGTTGACTCACAACCAAGCTGAAGATGTTAAGCAAATGCAACTGCATTGCAATTTGAGAAATACAGGATGGGGAGTGAAGGAACGAAGGATCCTCTTCCTTCCTGGAAAACCTTAGGCTAGCAGTGTATTTTTTTTTTTAAATTACTTTTGTAATACATCCCTCAGGTAAGATAGGAATGGTTTTTAAAGACTTAATGTCTTCTGGGGGGTTGTAAGCATGACATTTACTTCTTAATTCTGCCCCTTCCCTGTAATTAAAACAGCTGAATGTACATCTTATCTTTTCTGGACTAAGACCAAGACTGACAAATGTCAGCCTAAGCACTTTTATTTATTTAATAATAGCTGTAGCTGAATGAATATAGATTTTTAAATGTAAGCTCTTCACTAATGATGACTTTAAATAGATGCTAAGGTTTTTCTATTAATTCATTAATTTGGTGCCATGCTTTTTAGATTATAAAATTCATATAGCTTGTATAAAGCTAGTCCCACTCCAGTTATTGTTTTATTAGTATGAATGTAGAGCTACGGAGAAAGTTCCTACGCTCAAACAAGTAATTGATTTCAGTGTAGCAGCTTTGAGCAGCCACACGGTAACACCCTAATGAACAGAAAACAGATGGTTCTGTTTTCCCCACACAGATTATGATAATTCATAGATGAACTGTGAAAACACTATTATTGATTTCTTTGGCTTGGGTTTTTTGCTAGTTTACAAGTCAAGCAGTAACTGAGGAGAGTGTTTTTTGTTGTTGTTTCTTTTTGGAAACAAGTCAGGTAGTATGTGCTTTCCTGTTAGTTTCTTGACTGTTGAGGCTTGATGTGAAACACTACCAGAATAAAACTCAAAGGTAACATCTCATGCTGATAAAGCAGTTAACACCATGATTTTTCCACTCCAGAGGTAAAGACCAAGGCCTGATGTTTGCCCAACACCAGTGAGTGCTTCCCCTGATGCTGTCAGGACTTTTTTAGTTCTTTGTCTTTATCTCGAGCAGTTTTTTCCACTCATTTGCAAGGTAGTGGTGGTCAACAGGTATCCTTCCTTTGAAGGACTCTTGAGGTTGTCTCAGGATACTGCTTGGTGTGTAGGTGTTGTTCCCTCTTAAAACATGCCTTTTAATGTCACAGAAGGTTTGTGAGGTGAGCTAGCAGAGTTTTTATCTTCAGTGGAGGAAAAAGATACCAATCCTATCAATCCTTACTGTCCCCTGTAAAAAGGGTGGCATATACTGGCTGTGTGCTGTAGCCTAGGGTGTTCATGGGGTTGAATCACATACCGTCCAAACACCTTCTGTCTCTCTGCTTTTTGTGTGGTGTTGAGGTTTTGTGTTTTGTTTTAATGAAAAGTGCAAGCTGTCAGTGAGGGAAGAGTGGTGCCCTGTGTCAGGCTGTGGTCTCCTTTTGTCTGGCGTGTTCTTTGAAGTAGAATTTGCCTTTTTCTTTAATCTTAGAAGCCGTATACTAAGTCCTTACAAATCAGAAAGTGTAACCATGTTTAAAGTTGAGGTTAAAAAGGAGTGAAGCTGGAATACATACTGCTTAGAAATGCAGATTTCATTGCGTGTTATTTGCAACCAATTATACATGTAACTATATATGAAAGGGAGTCCTTGGAGTTCAGAGCCACTTCTATACGTTGTTGGCATTTTGAGCTAAAATTTGTTTGGCCACCCCTGAGAACTGCATCTGCAATAAGATTAAAAACTTATGATCAAAATGAGGCATAACCATATATAACCTTTGGCAACAGCATATGGAATAACACTCTTTATTCCTTTGCCAGTTTTGCTTTCCTTTCTGAAACGTCTGCTCTGTATTGGTGCTTGCTGCGAAAATTACCCACGTGTTCATTAAGCATATTAAGGAGGGAGGCAGAAGAAGCTAGTTTAAAGGAAAAAAAACTTTTATAAATTTAGAATACCTAATAGAGCAAAAAGTCGACATAAATTTTAACTGTTCTCTTAGGGCCCCCAATGAATGTCTATATAAAGGCTGAAAAATCTGCTTTGTAAAGATAAGAGCTTCAAGTTGTGATAAGGTGGTGGAGGCACAGCAAGCCTTGAGCGTTTCTCACGCCACAGACACTTCTGGCTTTAGAAGAATCTTGGAGCTTGTTTTCTTGCAAGGTCCCAGTGGCTGCTGCATTCTCCATCCTCTTCTGGCTCCACACTGTCAGAGGGAGGTGGTACAAGGGAAGAGAAGTTTTGCTTCTCACTAGCAAGAGCTCTATGTATGTCTGTGTGTATATGAACAGCAGAAACTCGGGCAGCTGCCTGCCCCCTCCTCTGAGAAGCAGGGAGAGATGCAGAGCACTGTGTGTGGGTGGGTTGGGATGGAGAGGAGGGGGACAGCAGAGGAACATGTTACCCCATCCCTCCTTACCTTTCATTACCTTACCTGTCGTTACCTTTCATTCCTCTGTGTGTAAGTGCGCCCCTGAAAGCACTAACACAGCTCCCCTGCATCCCTCCAAATAAATAATTAGAGAAGAAACAGTGCTTAATGCCACCCATTTTGCTGGTTCCCTTCTCAATTTAACTTTGCTTGCTGCAGAGCAGATATTTTCTCAGCTTTCTTGTTTTCTGCTTTGGGAAGGATGGTGTTGTGGACAGAAAACAGCAGCGCTGTCACCATGGGCTCTCCAAGGTCTATCGTAAAGTTGGCACATTTGGGTTTTGTGCAGCAAAAGCTTTGCTTGGGGCTGGGGGCGTGATGCTGTGTCTGCAGCAGGTTTTCATGGGCCTGACTTGGAGCTCAGGATGCCAGATGCAGAGCTTTGTCTGAAGATGTTGCTTCATATTCCCTCCAACTCAATACCCAGGATATTTGCCTTGCCTTAGGTGACCCAGTAAAAACTGAAATGTGTTTTCTGTGAAGGACGGGGCTCCCTGGAGCCGGAGGATGTGCTGCTGCCAGCTCGGATGCAGCTTAATGCCACCCTGCTCTCTTGGAGTAAAAGCCTGCGGGGGGGGTCCCAGCACACACCGCAGCACTTGTTGAAATTTGGTTGTGGATTCTAGGCCTGACAGTTCTTTCAAAACAAAGGTCTGGTCTTTAATAAGTGTTTTTATTTGCATACGCTAAATGCTAGTTCGTTGCAGGCATACTGTATTTCTTACTGAATGCACCTTTTGCTGGGCACTGAAACAGTCCTAAGCGAAAACCAGTTCCTGAAGAAAACTGGTTTTGCTGGAGGGAGTTGTAGCAGAAACTCTGGAATGATGTGGGGCTTGCTTTGTGTGGACTTAGCGTATGGAAGACTTTGTAGTTTTTTGAGTTTGCTGTGAAGGCATAGCCCATGCTGTTCCAGATCTTTCTCTTGTTCAAATTCCAACCTGATTTTTACGGTTTCTTGCAGGCCAGCCCTCCAGATCTCTATATTGAAAGATTTAACGTAGCTCTTGGACAGTATATGGGAGCATTGCAGAGCATTGTGCCTCTTTTCATATATATGGTAAGTTTTAGAAAATTCTTTTCAAATAAAGTATGTCTGTACACAAGATGCTGACTGAAAGTGAAAAGAATAAAATGCAGCTGTAATGATTTTTAACTTATGATTCATGCCTGGTTTTGCTACCTGTGTAACAGTTGTGTGGGGAGAGGAAGGGGAAGCCGTGCTTTTAAGAGCTTGGCAGCTGGTTTCTGCCCTAATATTTCTTTCCTGGGAGCGGGGGGGAGTGCTTTTTATTTTGATTGGAAAAAAAGTCTTCCCAAATAGTTAGGTCGTTATTTTTATCTTTTTGAACAGAGATAGTTCATTGGCTTGTTATATGTTGGCTTGGTAGTTTGAGCAGGTTACAGAGATGATTGTTTCTTGCCTTTAAATTGCACAGTTTCAGACAAGACAGAAAGAAATGGTTCTTGGAAGTGTCTGTGTCACTGGATAAAGCAATTTAGTGTTGACTGGATGAAGACAAACATATTCATAGCACTGTCAGGCACACTTGCAGAGGTTCAGAAACCATTGGCTATAAGTGTTTATCATCCTGATTTTGTAATTTCTGAAGTTTTCTATACCTCTGAAGAATTTTATAATTTGGATCGTTTTTTCAAAGTGCCAAGGCTTTTATTGCTTTTTTATGGTAATGTCAACTTAAGCTTAGAATTTGCCTTTCTCCCAGAAACTGTCCTTGTATTGGCATCACTTACAAATAAATTAAAAAAAATAGATCTATTTTTTGGGAAAGAATTTTTTTTTTTTATCCAAGTCCGTTTAAATTTCTTTTTTTCTTTAAATGAATCTCATACTCTGTTATTCTCATTTGTAGCTTCCTAGAGTTTGGGAAGCAGTATCTACTGGAAGGATCTCCTGTGTTTCAGTGAATGCACCTGAACCTGGGTCATTTCAGCAGGCTTTCAGCATAGTGTCACCATATAGATTTGTTGCATTAAAAACTAAATTGGGGCTTTTCTCCCCTGCTGCGTTCAGGTATTTTTAGATGCTAGCCATTTTTTGACCTGTGTGTGTGCTTGACTTTTTTTATTGCAAGCAGGTGTTTAAGCAATTTCATAATTGAATATCCATTTACAAACAGAGATAAGCTGTTTAGGTGTGGACTTTTATTGAATGCTCGGATCTATCACAGAGATTCTTCCATTGCAGAGGTCAAAAGCTATCCTTAACAATGCAGTAATTAACATTGAAAAAAGTTCATGATAGACATTTAAACAGACGGGTTTTATTATTATAAGCTTTGTCTGTAGGACAAAGGTGTAATTGCTGAATAGATTTATGGAAATCTTCCTTTATATGCAGTTGTGATGTGGTGTTTGTAACCTCAAATGAGGTGTGCTCTGTATCCCACGGTTTCTGTTTTAGAGTTTGAGTCTGGTACCTGAACATAGTAAAACTGGTTAAGGAGTAATAAACACACCTGTAAAATGAATAGTTAGATAGTAATTTTGAGACAGCGGAAAGTGAAAGTGCTCTATCATTTTAAAGGAGAAGCTTCTTAAGAGCATGACTAGTGATTTGTTGAGGCAGTGGAACTCTGTTCCTGCAAACACCTTCTCATTTAAGTGACTTAATTCAAATTAGGCCTGAAAGTTAGTGGCTACATGTTAGTTCTTCCTGCTGCCAAACGCAGTGCTGATTTGGCTCAGCTATGGAGCTGATTTTGAAGGATGATGTCAGATTAAGTCTCATACTTTTTCTCTGAAATAATTTATTAGTCAGTGTTGTTCGTGATGTGGAAAATAGCTCTAGACAAGTCAGCATGAAAAATGTTTTCATCTCATTTTTTTTCTGTATGCCTTTGGAAGTACTTTTATGTACAGCCACTCTTGCAATTTTATGCTGTGGCACCTAATCAAGCAGCAGTTCCCTTTATTTATGCAAGAATATGCAATTAAAAAACAATTGCAAGAGGTGAAAGCCTAATTATTCTACAATATAAATTACAGCTTTGCAGTTACTTTAATAGATACTTTCAATGTCTTTTTAAGTGAAGAGGATTAAATTGTTGAAGTCTGCCTTTTTGTCAGAGATGCCAGGTCTTTCCTTTTTTGGTAGCGATGTGATTGCTTTAATCAAGAGTTTCCAAGGCTGCTGAGTTGCCCTGATAAACTTTGTTTTGCAAGGATAATTACATTACTGCTTAGGAAAATTTTTAATAGGCATTTAAATATTTAAAAATCTAGGAGGCCAAGGAAAGGGTTTTTTGTACAACTGGAATGTGTTTTCGTCCCTTGGTGACCAAAAAAGGCATTGCCTTAGGCTTAGTCCCGTGTGGTTTGATTATCAACAGCAGCACTTTTCTTCCTTTTTCCTGGTGTGTTCCAAGCCATGTTCTTGTGTGTGAATGGTGGGAATCCAGGAAAGGTGTTTCCTTCACCTGTTGTAAGTGGTGACCAAGGTGTGTTTCAAGGTTATCTTGAGTAATTGCTGAGAAGGAGCTGTCTTTGAAGTCGAGGGAGTTTCCTTTTTCCTTTTGCTAGGAGCACTAGTGTGTTGGGTTTTTTTTCACATGGTGAAGATTTTTTTTCCTACCTGATGCTGCTGCAGTGGACTTTTCAAGAAAACTTGGAGGCCCAAAGCAGTTTTGTCCCTCCAAAATTCTGTGGGTTTAAACTCCTTCAAAAATTCTGGGAAGTAACTTCAGACAGAGCAAATTAAACTGGAAGTCAGCTCAGCACACAGTGCTTTAATTATCTTAGTGAATACCTCTTTAATTTGTAAATCTAAATGAGGTTATTTGTGATGCTTACAGATTGTATATATCACAGTATGCTGCACTCATGAGTGAATAAAAATCGTATTTCCACTTCAAGAAAAATTAAAATCAGCATTTAGATGACACACGTTTTTTATAATAGTTTCTCAATTGTTAATTGTACTTAGAGATGTAGCTGAAAATTTGTTATCTTGTGTCATGAAAAGAGCTTAACGTTTGTGAGCACTGTGGTTTTAGGGTAGTTAAGAATTTTTTCATTGCCTCTAAAATAATACTATTCTTATTGGGTGGTATTGTGCTTTGTTGCTTATCAGCTTGAGGGCATTTTGTGTGTTTCTGTTACACAAATAAATGTGAGTATGTGTATGTAGATGAGATGATAAGCACTCTTACATAGAGGTTTTTTTTCCTCTTTCAAGTATTTATTGCTCTCCTCTTAATAATATTAACCCAGTTATGTATTATAACGTTTGCCAGTTTGCTTTATGATATAATGATTTGTAGAAGTGGTGGTTATATTGTATCTAACTTTCTCAGGTATTGATATCTGCTTACCTTTTCCCTGACAGCTAGACCTTCAGGTGAATTGACACACTTCTCAAGAAATACTGGTCAACCTAATTGCTGACATCTTATACAGAAAACCTTCCTATTTTTCCACTAACAAGAAAGGGGAAGGTGGTAGCTCTTCTGCTCTGTCCTTTCAGCACCGTAGCCCAGAAATGAAATTGATTATTTTTCATTGTCTTATTTGAATTCAGAGAAGTGTAGCATCTTTTTAGAAAGTTGTTTCCAAGTGAGCAAATGTGAAGAGCGTTTTACGGTTGTTCTGTATATAAGAACTGTGTTGTCTTTCTTTGGCTTGAAACTGCTGGGGTTTTTTTGGTTGCTTTTCTGGTTAACGAAACTTAAGGTATGGCCTTTCCAACTCTTGAACAAAAGGAAGCATCACAGTTTGCATGGGTTGTCACCAGCTGCTTTATAATGTGAGAAGGTCTTGATGCTGGGAAAGGAGCAGAGTCTGTTGTTTCCTTAGCTGGGTACCTTTCCTCGGTCAACTGATGAGAATCAGTGGTTTGAGGGTGTCAGGTTTGGTTCAGGTCCGTGGCCTTGTGCTGACATTCCCTGTGGTAGGACCTGGTCAGGAAGCTCAAGGTGGAAGTGGTTTCAGATGTTGGTCCTGGTGAAAGCTGGTGTGTAGCTTAACGCTTCCTGGAAGGTGTTTATCTTCAGTCGCTGTGAATTTCTGTTCAAATAGCAATTCATCATTGACCAAAAATACTGAAAATGAAGTTAATCTGTTTCCTACAAGACAGGTTATTCTGTCTGCAGAGCCTTTCCTTCAGTCTCCATTCAAAGAACAGGCCCAGACAAGGGGGAAACAACTGAGTAATAGCCCTTGACAAAACCTCTGCAGGTAGGATAGCATCAGGGAGGGAACTAGGAGTAAGTAGGAAGCTACTAAATTTAAAAAAATCCAGCTTTTTACATGTTTTGCCCCTCACTGCAATGAACCTGACCTTTAATAAGGGCATGTGTTCAGCCCTCGAATTGCCTTTGTTCTAAGAGGTTCAGGTTTCATTAAAGGTAAATAACTGTTGCTGAGTGCTTGCCTTGAAAATTTAAGTGATTTCTGCATGGATGGTTTATTATGGGGTGTGTGTAGTTCTGGTAATGGCCAAGAGAATGGATTTCACACAGGAATGTAAGGACTGCTCTAATAGTGTTCTGAGGGTTTGTTCCAGTTTTGTTAAATGCTTTAGCGAATAGGAGAACAACTTGATTTAAAGTGTGGAAAAACCTTTTTCCCTTAAGATATCCCTTCCTCTAGTAAATCTCTCAGATAAGTGTTCCAGTACATTATTTTTGATTAAGTTGATTTCCTATTACAGTACCTATTTAACTCTTTTGCTCAAGTTGTCCAGATGAATTCAGTTGCTCTACTTCCACGTTAGTGTTGTAACGACAGGAGATTCATCTTGAAACAGTTATTTATTTATTTTTTCCAGTGTTTAAAACCCACCTGTGAATAAAATACAGACCAAGAAATCTTCCTATCGATTGCAGGCTGGGAATGGAAGGATAACACCAAGTAGTACATTAGATGTAGCGGGCCTTGAGGAACTTATGAATAGAATTTCCTATTTATTATTAATGCTGAGTGGGTCAAGATAATTGAATCCTAAAAATTTTAATGTACTTCAGTTTTGTATAGGTTTGTATATATCACTTATTTCCACAGCTGAATAATTCTGAGTAGCTATCCTCTGAGATTATCGACGAACCGCAGAAATAGATAACTGTACTGATGATTTAATATTGTAACATACCTATTTTAATGGCTTAATCACTTTTAGACATTGGTAAAAATGTTTTTATTTTGTTATAAATGTGATGTCCAGCCCTATTTTGGTGTTAGAGCATTTATAAAGTTCTAAAATGAAGTGGAAGTGGTTTTCTTTCTGCAAACTCCCCAGTGTGGATCAAAATGGAAATATGTCTGTAAATACAGTAAAAACCAAAAATGCATGCCTGTATGTAAGTAAATTGTTACAAATACAAAGTATTGTTACAAATAGTACCACATGCATTCTTAATTTTAAATACACGGGGTTTTGTTGTACAGGAATGTTCTATTTAGTATAAATGTAGTCACCAAGGAAGCCCTTTACAGGTCTTATTCTACAACTTTAAAAATTTTGAACTATTTTTATTCAGGGAAAAAGTAAGTTTATTTGCTATTAAACACAAAAGCAAACTTGAAAAATTCTGTCGTCTTTTCCAGAATAAATTTTACATAGAAACCAAGCTTAACAGAGACTTAAAAGATGACCTTATAAAGCTGTTTACGGAACATGTTGCAGAAAAGCACATTTACAACCTAATGCGTAAGTAATCTATTGAATTTTTCTTATAATGGGAGTCTGGAAAAACACAGTGCTTTCAGATATTGCAGAGATACACAGAAAATAGGGAGAAAATGGCAAATGACTTGTAAATTTAAATGCAAATTCCTTTTTAAGGCATCCGCATGAAGAAATGGGTCACATCAACTTATTCTTTTCAAAAATATGTGTTTGTCTGAAGTCATTGTTTTCTTGCGTATCTGGGGGAACCAATATATATTTTCCCTTATGACTTGTGGTTATGACATAACGAATGTTTTATTGTCCTCTTGCTTATACTGTTACTCCTTAATTTCATTATCAAAATGTTGACAGGTATCATTAAGAATGTGGTGTGGTCAGAGAACCGTGATGCCGCTGGGGTTATCGTCATGATGTACTCGAGTACTCCCTGTTAGTTTGTGAACTGCATAATGCTGACAGCAGTTTCCCTGTTAAGCTAATGGGTTAATGCAAATAGAATATGCTTTAAGTGATGTGCTTCCCGTTAAGTGCCCCTGTGGGTGAGTCCTGCGGTGAACCGCTGCGTTTGCCTGCAACCTGCCACTGCTGATGGGTGTTTGTGTGAGCATCGGGACCTTGGTACTGGCCTGGTTCACTCCTCAGGAGGGCAATTAGCAAAGGCAGGGATAATCAGAGTTCAAATGGGAAAGCTTTGTGGAGTGGTGAGCAGTTGACCAGGAGAATTGCTTTGTGCAGCTGGGTAGTTGCTGTGCCCCGGGTTGAGTTCAGGATCTAGCCTGGTGTGCTCCTTCCTGTGACCCAGCCCTATGACAGTGTCCCTGTTTTCATCCAGCTGCTCCTCTCCTTTCCTCTGAAGCAACAGCTATCTGTGTGCTAGGTGGAGACCAAACGATGCACCATGAAACCTCAGCAATTCTATGATTCTGTCTTAGCAATACGATTTAGTGATGTTTTTTGGCAGTGTTAGGCTGATGACTAGATGATCTGAAAGGTCCCTTCCAACCTAGGCAGTTCTGTGATTCTATCTTAGACTATATTTCTCCTTTTGTCTTTACTTGGGGAGTAATGCCCTTCTCTCTCCAGCAAGGGCTGGGGGAAAGGGGCTTTGCTATCTTTTTTTATGGCCACTATTGGCACCCTGGGAGAAGACTTGGGTGAACAAGGTGACTACCCTCAGGTCAGGGGGCCTGGTACCCTAGAGTGGTGGGAGATCATCAGCTCTGATGCCATCTTATTCTTGCTGTTTGGAAGAGTCTCCCTAAGAAGAGCTTTTAGCCAAGTACCAGATGAGATCACGTTAGAATTAATAGGAAAATGAGGAATGCCTACTCATGGACCTGATTTTTTTATTTGTGCCAAAGAGATTTAATGGTATCATGAAACACGGTAAGATGACTGCTGCAACAGGACTGTGGAAAATTCAGCTGATACTGCCTTAAAATTATATAAGTTTAATTTTAGGTATATGCATTTTACAGTAATGAAAACATTAATGTGATATTTTTTTCCAATGACAAAGCAAAGGTAACACTGTCAAACCTTTAGAGCATAAGTAATGTCAGATGTGTGTTGCTATGTAATTAGTTTTCTGTGGACGATATGAGAATCAAATAGAAATTGCAGATGAACTATTGAAAGAAAAAGACCTGTGGTTGTGTGTGAAATCTGAAATGCTTCTCCCCAGCTCTGTGTTAGTTGCAGAAGTAAAATTAAAAAGAAAACATTGAAAAATAAAAATGAGATGTCACTGACTGTGTTGCTGTATATGGGGTCTGTTGTTTAATGAACAACCTCCTTGGATTCCATTTGTCTTACTGTCAGCTTATTAAACTAAGTGATTTAATTTTTCTCTTACTCCTAAGGTAATATGTACCGACGTGTATAAACTCCTACCTGTGATCTGTCTTGGTTAAATCTTGGATAATAGAATCATTACATTGAGTTAAAGTTTGCCTAAATAAAATTCTAAAATTGGTAACAGATTTCTGGGAAATAATCGAAGACACGTAGCACGTGCTGTAGTACTGTAGAGGTGCAGAAAAAGTTCTAGTGTTGTATTATTTTCTGCCATTCTCAGTTGTGCTTTTTAGCTTGCTGAAATTCACACCATAGGAGATAAGAGTATTACCTTCATTTTTTAGAATTGTAAGGGCTGAATGCAAATAGGGTGTAAGACAGTGTTTGTTAATTACTTTACTTCCCCATGTCACTGTCACTGTGTGGTACTGTTTCCTGATATTTGATATAGACTTGGTTCAACAGAAAAGTGTTTTTTATATCATGAGGGGGAGAAGAATACAGTTTTGAGTGGGTATGCTTAGGAAATTAAAGTCAATGAAATTGTGGTCTGTATAGATAAATGGAATCCTGGGGCTATTTTTTAAAGAGATGCTGCAGCTGCCACTTCAGTGAGGAGAAGCACTCCTTCCCTCTATTTTAAAAAGCGAACAACAAAATCAGTTTAATCAGTTTGTGATCTAGACTCAGAGGACAAGAATAACATCTGCTCTTGAAATTTGTTGCTACGTTTTTTGTATGAAGGGATTTTTGTTTGTAGTATCTTGTCATTCTGTCAGAGCCTGGAAGCTGGCATTTCTATTTGAAGTTGTGTTCAGGAAGGTCTGTAAGTACGTTTTTGGATTCATTTGATTCAAGAAGAAGTTCCTGCTCCACTTCAAAAGAAAGGGGGGAGAAAATGCCAGAAAAGCGGTGCAGCACAGATCTCTTCCTTAGTGTTTGATCTCGCTCAAACTCCCACGGGTTAAGTCCTCCCTAGTCCCTGTGTAGTTGAAGGCAGAAAAATGCAAAATGAACTCCAGGTCTCTGTGGTGGGAACACTTATCTGAGCACTTAGCTGCAGAAAATAAAGTGATTAAGGTGTGAATTTATTATTTACAGAAGAAATATCTCCTAAGCGACCTTGGATTTGTTTCCTTTTTTTTTTTGATAGAGGAAATCTTTTTCTTTTTTCTTTTTTTTTTTTTTAAACACTCTACTATCTAGAGCACTTCTGAGCAGTTAAATACCAAAAAAATTACACAATACACAAATGCGTGAATGCAGTTGTGTTTTTGAAACACTTGTACACTCGTGCATATTTATCAATTCAATGTTCTTCAAATTAAAGCGGATACATTTGAACTAAGTGAATATAACCTGATTATTTTCCTTGCAAAGCCAAAGCTGGCTCTTGCTGATAAGGCTTCTGTACTAAATGGCTTGGGAGAAGTTGCTGTGTGCAGAACTACTTAACTGAATGTAACAAGCAAAGATACAGCATCTTATTTACAGTAAACTGCAGAAAAGGGGGAGGGAGATGCAGATAATACCCCCCCTTGTCACTAGGGAAGGGGTGGTGGGGGACATTGTCTTTGTTCTTGCTGGAGTCCTGCATGAGATGACCTGTAAGCAGTAAAATTCAGAAATACATGTTTTCTCTCCTTATGCAGCCACTGTCTCTTCTAGTAGGTTGATCCATCCAAAGATGGATTGGATTGACTTTTTCCCTGTTTGAGCTGGCATTTCTTTCCCACCCCCCTCCATTTTGACATCAGTATCAAATAATCTTCATATTGAGAAGCAATCTCTTATTGCCTTTACCCACAAACTGCAGAGAAAATCTTGTGAACAGGGGTGAAAACACTCATTATTTTTCAGCTTCTTACAGAAGGCGTTGCCCCCACCCTTTCTGTATGCTGCCCTTCTGGATTTGCTTTCAAAAAGTTGTTCTTCTGTGTGTTTCTTATTTTCAAGTGAGATCTAATGCTTATGTTTCATAAGAAAATAGCAGTTAGTTTCATAAATAAACTTGTGCTTGAATGGCTGTACTGAGTTGGATCAAAAGTCAGTGTAAGCCCATCATCCTGGGCTTGACAAAAATGCATGGAGCATCATGATAGGTTTGGTGCAGCAGAAGTTTGGTCACCATGAGTTTATATCATTAAAGGTATGTGCCCTGTAGGAAGAACTGAAGGTTTTCCTTGCATGGTTTTGGCTACATCCACATTAATAAGTGGTGTAGGGTAAAGGGAGCAGATCTCTGGAATACAAAACACCTATATGTTGGCGTTGAGGACTCGGTGTGCACCTTTACATACGTTTTGGAGGGTTTTATTTCACGCTTGCTGATGTCTGGTCCTGTGGACAGAATGCCAGTTAGTAGTTCGAGCACAGCTGGTTTAATCTTGCCCAAAAAGAATTAAGTTAATGCGCTCCGAGGCAGCTCTGTCATATGAACCACGCAGCAGTAAGTGGGGATGATCAGTGAATTTGCTTCAAAAGCACATTTCTGATCTGGACTAAAGCATTAATATAGAATCTGCCCTTAAGCATTTGAAATCACTATTCTTTTTTTCTCTGAGACACAGAGTGTCTACTGTGATGGCAGAAGCCATATGCTGTTAAAAAAAAATGTCCTGTTTGATTGCTGAGGCTCTTTCCCTCTGTAATATATCGGGTGTTACTCAGCCCCTGGACACTGCTTTGCTTACTTTTTTCCTTAAAGCGTGCAGAATCAGTATGAGAGAAAATCTGCACAACCTTCACCTGCCACCTTCATAAAGCTATGCTTCTTGCTTTTTAAGTTTAAGAATGATACAGAAAAATGAAATGGTGGATTTCTTTAAAAAAATTTTAAAGGCAGAATTACTTGCCGGTAGAGTGACTTGCTCTATGTCTTTGGAATCAGGCTACGTGTCTGGATCAGTAAATGAAATGAGAAGATTCCTTCCTGAGGGCCTTAAAAATGAAGCAAAGTAGCAGAGCACTGGGAGAAAATACCGATTCATTCCAGTGTATTTGTACCAGACTAAACCGGGGTGATTTCTGTGAGAATTACGCTACAGCAAAAAGCTAATTTACTCTTTTCCCCAGTTATAATGCTGTTGAAATATCAGCTTTTGACAGTAAATGTTTTTTGGGGCAAGAGGGTTCTGTAGCATAAGTGGTCCTTTTTATCAGATGTATGGAAGGGATGCATTTATTGTCAAGTTCTTAATTAAAAGTAGTTTTTAAAGATT